ATATATATATATATATATATCTCTATATATTATCCCCATACTTCGTAACACATGCATATACATATATAATAGACATTTTATATCATTATTGTAACGCATTGATGCTATCTGCTGTTATTCATATAATCATAGTACATTTACTGGTATAATTGCTATCTCGTCTTACAATATATCTAAAATAATATTTTTAACATTCAGCGATGTGTTGTTTAATGTGTGTGACTGTGTCTTGCATCCTGTTTGTTGCCTGTTGTCGCCGGTACACACTCTTTTCCACCGGAGTTGCGTGAAGACAAACGATCGGTGTGTGTGACAAAGATTCGCGCTAGATAGATAGGAAAGGCAGCTGCTTCACGTGCGCTTAGGAATACAATACCTAAAAAGGATCTTTTCTTTCTTTTTTTTTTATTTCAATCGCTCTAATTCGCTGGCGATTATCGTGTTACGCAATATAATCCTAGCAAAGTGAGCGCAATCGAAAGGGACCACCTTAGCACGTAACTGGGAATGTATGTGACCATGTGGAGCGTTATTTCACACAAGAGACAGAACAGCGACTCTTTAGCATTAAATTGTAATTTATAATAGTAACCATCGCGCGCCGCCAAGAGCTAAAAATCCCGTCTCTTTCAAACATATATTACTGACTGTATTGATACGATAATCAACCGACCTGAACGTGCATTAATGGTGCATTAACGGTGCACCAACGATTGTAGCGATGGTTATGCTCTTATCACGCCGCTGCCATAGATAGATGTCGTAAAGACGACCTAAAAAAAACATTCTAATCTCTTAGACACCTAAAAAACGTTTTTCCTGCAAGACGCCGCAGATATCCTAATCTTTCAGATGTCGTAAAGACGTTGCGCGATTTTTAATGTCTTTTTTTACGTGAGGAGGGGGTGTCTTTAAGGTCTTTGTAGTGGTTGAATGCTACCACCGACCATAATGGCCGTAGGGACGGTAAATGGTTCTATGGACCGCGGCAGCGTATTCGCATCGCATCACAAGCATCACCGAGGGTTATTTATATAAATAAGTTTGACAAAAACGCGTAATGTATATTCCAAGATAAATAAGAAAAAACTGTGCTTCCCCACGCGACCCTGGCGCTAAAGTGCTGGCTACTACCTTTTTTTTTAATCGTTTGACAATATACAAATATATAAGCATTAAACGTGTAATATATTATATCATCATCGTCGTCGTCGTATATAATTAGTAATATCCTAAGATAGTTATTGTATGAACGATCTTTTTCCCTTTTTTTCTCCCGAGAACGCAAAACGCGGAAACGAAAAAGAAACGTTTTATCTCAACAGCTACCGCTTCTTTCTTTTTCTTTTTTTTTCTTTCTCGACGTAACAGTCGGAGGTACTAATGCCACTCGAAAATGATCTCCGGTTGAACTGTTCCTCTTATTCGACAGCATCGACATGACCTGTTCGATACGTCGCGTACGCCATTTTTCGGTCAGATCGAACGAAGCTGCCGAACATTTTCCATGCTAGCGTTCTCAGCACCTCGACAAAATGGACTTTCGTGTGGAATGATAGAGCATCTTACTTCCTCGTCATCGTTAATTCGAGATACGTCAATGATTCTTAAGTTTCCTTACGTTTTAAGGTTCTTTATCATCTAAGAGTTAGACGTTAAGTACTGAAAAAGATTACCGAGAGAAACCAGGCAGTGGGAATCGAACGGAGACGGAGGGAATAAAACAGCTGCATTACGAAGATATAGAGGAGTGAAAACGTGCAACGATGAGATGGCGCGTGTACGTGTGTGTGTGTTCTGATATTTTAAGAGTGCCGCATAGCTCGTTCGCAACGCTCGGTTATTTTAGCATAACGTTAACGATTACGCCATTAATCGGAGTATTTACTTCTATATGCTGCCCGCAGTGGCAAGCTACTACGATCACTATCGTATTTTTTTTCTTCGTGTTTAGTACTTAAGCTGCATTATTGCCATTGATTATCTCCGAAAATATCAGAACCTAAAAATACAGCAAAGAGCGCAACGATACAACGCATTCACTGAACATTCGTTCGTGTAAACGCGTTCTAGCATCGTTCAAACGTTTGTCCCCGAGGAATGAGAGCGACCAGCCACCGAACATTGGTCGTCAATCGATCCACGGAGCTTCCAGTTCGAGTGCATAACGTATAGAGGCGGAGGAACATCGAGGTACGTCTAAAAACGGCGTTTTCTACTTTTATAACACGAGCGCTCCTTCCTGCGTTTTTATAATATATCGACATGTATGATAACGTAATAAAAACGATGTGTGTATGAGATACTTCCGAAGATAGCGTGTAACACTCGTGTTCGTATGGCACATAGGTATATGCTGAATTCTACGTCATTTTATCTCCCATAGAATCCGTTCCGTTTCCCATCCAGCATGTCCCAGCTACAAACTGTATTTTACATATATATTGTCAATTCTTTGCAAAATCGATTTACACCACGACACGTGGCCGTGGTGTCTACACAAGCGGACGCAATGCGTACGGCGATAATCTCGTCACGTGCGATTTGCCGATTAGGAAACGCGTTTTTCTGAATTTGCGCATTTCCGGGATGTACATAGTCCGGATCTTCGGAAGAATCTCGAGGGTTAGAGATATACATACTATTTATATATATCTTACTCTAACAAAATACTATGAGATTCTTGAAGAAAATACGCGAGAACGAATACGCGGTTGCGACCAGCTTCAGAAATCAAAATATTTGTGATAACTCTCGAGGCAGCGGCCGAATTATTCCTTCACTTCAAAGTATTTGTATGTAGGATTCTCGTAACCGTTGATCTGCATATTTGCGACGTGTCGTTCCTCGGGCGTGGCCGCTTGATCGACCTCGATGAAGCCCTGTGAGGAAATGGAAAATACTATTATTATATGTTGCATTATTAATTAGCGTGTCAATTAGTGCATTATTATAACACA